TGAAACTTTGTCATAGCTGCTTATTATCGCTAACAGCTATTGCATTCCCTTTTACTAGGTGCTTTGACTAAGTGCTTTACAATCACCTCTTTATGATGTGTATGTTGTGTTATACATAACACATTTAAGCTTCTAGCACTTTACATTTTATAAGCATGAGTATGAAAAAATTCCATGAAATTTTCAAATGAGATTCTGAGTGTAATGTAGGGTGAAAAGAGCTTTTTGGATGAGGAGAAAGTTTGGTTCGGGATAGATTGTGTCAAACTTTTGCATTTGGTTATTGTTGAATGTTTGAGGCTATTCAATAGGACAGCATGGATGTTTCAAGCAAAAATCTAGATTTTTAATCAAGTAAAAGCTTTGATGTGACTTACTGAGCAGCTTGAATCCTAGAAATGCATCAACTTTTCCGAACAATCCCTAAAGGTAACTTCCAGCAAATTTTAAAAAATTCCATCCTTTGTATCACTATCCTGAATATCTGATCAACATCCATGAGTGATTCTTTGTCAAAACTATATGACTGCAATGACCAGCACAGTTCAGTAACTTCATCTATTGACATTCTATACAATGGAATTTGTGAGCAAGAAATTGCCAATTTAAAAGTGCTCACAATGGCTTCATGCATTGATTCGTACACCAAACACTAGCATCATCAACAATGTGTTGACTTTCTTTCCATGAAGAATCTTTTCATTTCATAAAAAATGCAATAAAATATGTTACTTTCGGAGATGTCAACATCGTAGAGATAATATGTCACAGAACTTTTCTTTTTGTCATCGTTGTGAGAATGCTTTTCAGTTCTGTGTCTCTGAGCTTTTCTTTTCGTTTGATGACGGGTAGATTTAATGTTGTGTCAAGCATTTAGGGAGTGGGCATGGATTAAAAATATTCAGTATGATGGACAGGAATGAAATGTTAGGGATTTGGTGACAAATCTAGGGATCTTCGAGTGTCCTTAAAAATGATTAAAAAGTTTTAAAAGTTTAAGGTTTAAACAACGAGAAGGATGTCCCAAAAGCACCAAACTTCAAAAGACGTCATTTATGAACGACCCCTAAGAGAAAATGAATGGAAAAAATGTACAATGGCAGTAGAAGCTAGATAGATCAGTGTATAGTATTAAATAAAATAAAAATTCTTTTTCTCTCCTTAACGAGACACTCAGAAAGTTATGAAAAATGTAATTTTTATCATAACGACATGCGATGTTATGCAGTAGTTGTAATGGGAAAAATAGCTATATGAACTTATGTACTGTTATGATCTCTTCCCCATTTTCATATTTATTATGCATGCATATTTCTCCTCGTTTCCATTAACATAAATATTAAAATGAAACTTCTCATGTATATAAATTTATATTGGAGTCGAGAAGAATTCACGAATGGATAATTTATAGTTCTTAACTGATGTTGAAAGTGCTTTCTTGTTACTTTTTTTCATGATTCGTGGGAAGTAATAAATTCAAAGGATACAAAAAAAAATTCAAGTTTTTAGAATTTTTCTGGTCCTTAGACTTTCTAAGTCACGGACGTCGCATTTATTCGTAATAATAAATTTTGCATGACTTTCACTTCTTTTAATTCTAAAGCTCATGTAAATAGTTAACAAAGACGCGTGATCAACGAGACAAAACTTAATGAAATGTCCACAAAAAATTAGAGTCACGAACTTCATAAATATCTCTTTTGTTTAATAATTAATTCATCTACATGCTCAATTATATGACTTCTTAAGATTATCTTGGTGATTCTGAAGAAATTTGGAACTATGGGTTTAGTAAAGTGAGATATAATCTATGATCAGAAACTCAAATTGCTGACTTTACCCCTAATAACGTGTGAAGGGCCCAGCCTTTCAACTAGAGGCACTGCGACTCAAATTAGAACAGAATCTATTGTACCACACCCTTTAGACCTACAGTTTATAGTGGGATCCGAACCACTTGCAAGGTCTGCACATTGCAAAGACACGAGTATGTCATAAGACCTGAGACTTTACCCCTGCTCTGACCATCATCTCAAATCCAACATTTTTCCATCTTTTCCAATTAATTTCAAATGCGAATCAACAAAAAAACCCATGAATTTTCATGAAAACATCAGCAATAGAATCAAAATATGTAAAGAGTATGACGAGCATCATTAAAAAGTATTCTAAAACAGCCTCACAAGCATAAATTTCAATTTCTACATTTCCTTGCATCCCGAATCTCGAAGCATATTCTATTATTAGAACATTTCTATAATTCGCCACGATAATAGCTGAATGCTATCTTGATACTCCATATAATAACAGTAAAATTTGATTTCCAACATGCTGCCTGCCTAAAAAGGAAAAGAACATCCAAAAAAAACTTTTTAATTTATAAATAAATTTTTCATTAAAAATTGTTCGTGAAAGAAAGTCTCTTCACACGTTATCATCTGTTGTGGATGATTCTTCTCACCACCATAGCCTCAAGAAAGCTCAGGCGTATCAGAAAATATGTGGCAGCACAAAAACGAAATTTGTTTTGGGAAAATGAAAAAAGATTTGAAAGAAAAAAAATGAAAAAAGTTTGCTGTTACTGCTGCGGCTGTATTTCTGTCGAGTGAGATAAACGATGTTGGTAGGTAATGATGAGAAAAGAATGAAGAAATAAAAAAAAAGTATGAAGTTTTTTTTTTGGTTTTTGAAGAACATGGAAGGTCGTGAGAAATGTAAAAGGCCATTAAAATTTTCTGTTGTTGAATTTTTAATATCCCAAAAGATTTTCTCTCCATCCACAATACGCCATCGCAAGTGATAACCGTTTTTTTCTCGCTCTGTTGCAGAAAACTTTTAACTCAACACCATAGAAATGATGCTGCGGGGAGCATTCTGCTTATCTTTTGGGACTATTCTTGTATTATGTTTCATATCTAGCTACAAAGGGGTCTAGACCTTAGTTTATCTCCAAAATATTATTTTGTACGTATGATTCACGCCAGAATATCAGAAGAATTCAAAAAATTTCAATTATACAACAGACGTCACTAGTAATCAACCCTTAATCTCATTTAGCATTACTAAATATAAATTAACATACTTTTCAACACAACACACTCATTTGCCTCGCTTTTCATTAACCAAGTGCGATGCTTAGTCTCTTTTTTATCACTCATCCATCCATTCAGTTATTTTCTTGTAATTTGTTTCACTCCTCATTTCCCGACAACATCTGTCAAAAAAATATTCTTCTTTTTTTCCTCTTGCTCATTTAAAGGAGAAAAAATAAAAGCTAGCAGCACTATAAGTGCAAAGAGGCACCACAGCGAAGGCAGAATGCGGTTTTTTTGTGATGAATTAATTACAGTTGAAGGCACATATGGTGCAAAAGCTAATTCGAATGTGCTTTTTTTCCATCATCGTACTCAAGTCGAGCCCAAAAGCAGACATTCTACAATTTTTGCTGATGCTTAATTCTATAACATCTTCTTTGTGTTTCTTGTGCTGAAGACAGTGTTGAATTTTCTAGAATTCATAGTTTTTTGGTTCTTAATAAAGCTGTGAATAACCTGGTATAGCTAGATGATCCGATGAGGCAAGTCTATTGTAGTGCATCCTCTGAGAAATTACAAGCTGCAACCCTTTTCAGTCCACGACCAACTCTGTACTGTATCTCTTTTCCAGCGCTAACAAATTTCCATTTTTTTCTTTTTCTCTTCTTAATGTTTCATAGCAATTTGTCGTCAGTCGAATAATTTATGTACAGAATAGACATGTTTCAAATTTTTCATTATATCTTTCTCTCAAAAAAAAACAAGTGGACAAAAGTTAATTAAGATGATACATTTTTAATTTTACAATTTCATGTTATGCATGTCTGAACATTTTACCGACATTGCCATCAGCATATAAAATTAGAATTCAACGAAAAAGACGACATAAAAGATGAAAAATGATGTTTCGTGTAGTCACAAAACAGTTGATGTCAAGAGAAGAAAATATCTTTGTTTTAATACAAAACAAAAGCATAAAAATGTCATGCGGAAATCGGATGGAATGAAAGTTCACGATGCAGTGCAGAAAAAAAATGTATATGGGGAAGACTTGGGAAGCAACAAACAATGGGGCAACAAAAGACAGTCGAGAATAAAAAACTGATAAAACTTTTTGACACGTTCGAAAAGGAAAACACACACACACACACAGCATGTGAGGGAGAAAAAGGGGAAGAGACAAATTCTCTTTTTTTCGGGTTTTGTCACAAACATAAGTTTGTTTCATGCAATTATCTTGTCTCCGAGTCCTACAAACATACATATAAATTTTTATGCTGTTGATTTATCATAGATTGTGCTGTAAAAGTGTCTGTCAATTTTTTTTTACAATGGCATTACAGGACCAATACTTGTCCCAATTTTATTATCTGAATTGTTCAAATTTAACATGTGTTTTGCAGTTTTTTACAATGAACATGTCAGATTTGCTATCGATGGAATGAAAAATTACAGGATTTGGTGTTTCGCCCCGGAACTGTTACAGCTGGATTAAGCAATCGAGTTTTTAAAATTTGATGAAATCCGGTCAGCTTTATTTTTTTATGTTTGCATTTTTTAAGGTTTAATAATTACTTTAAAATGACAATTTTGTTGTACGTTGAATTATAAGATGCAATTTAATAAGTTGTCTACTTTTTTTATATTTTCTGTTATAACCATGGGGATAGGGGGAACAAAAATGACATACGAAAATTGCGAAAGTTCCTAACATTTTTACCTATAATTTTTTAAACCGCAATTAATGATTAACAAGCTGATTCATGACATTTTTATCTTATCTCTATTGATAGCAATTTCTTTATTAAAATTGTTTGAAAAAACCAGAAATTATTGTTATCAAAAATTAAATACACTTTTATCGTGATAAGAACAGGGCTTTAGCCCTTTCAAAAATAAAATTAGGTTTAAAGTAATCGAATGAAGATCACATACTTCCTTTGTAAGCTGTAGGCAAAATAATAAATGGTTTATCGAATCCTAACTCGTTCAACTGTTATTAGCTATATGAAGTATATAAAGTGCAGCAATGTAAGGATGTTTGTGAGGTTTAAGCAGGTAAATCTTTTTCGACCTAAACCTCTGTCAATTCAAGATTATAAGTTTTCAATTGGCAATCGATAAAAGCCAAAGGTGTGGCTTGAAAAACAGTCATAAGAATTTTAACTCTACGCGAGTAAAAATGTAAGTAAATCTAACGCTCTAAATTGATTTATTAAATTTATTAAATTAATTTTACTTTTAGGTCATCAACAAGACACGAAAAGCCAACTGGAGGAGCTTTAATAATTGATTTTAATGCAAATCACCGGTCTTTTGCTAAATGGCAAAGATCTCGAAATGCTTTAGTGGATGACTTGGAAACCCGTGGATTTGAAATTCAAAACTCGATTAGTTTTTGGTATGAATCAGGGGCGTAGCCTTTAGGGCAGGTTAGGATTTTTTCTTAAAAACCCCAGTCAAATAAAGAAAATTCTGGTGACATAGGAGAATTTGGGAATCAACCACTGGCTACGCGCCTCGTATGAATATTTAACGAATCAAGATCGTAAAAAAAAATTTTCTAGGCATTTAACTACATTTTTTTGGTCTAAAACCTCCAATTAAATGTGTTTAATAAACAAAAATCTAAGTATCGCTTCCTTCCGATGCAATTTTAAAATATTCCAAATGAATTTTGTTCAGGTGGCGCTTGTTCAACAATTTAGCTTCGTACTTGCCATGGAATGTTCAAACGCAAAGGAACTATTTCTTTGATACTGCACAAGAAGTCAAAGAAAAACTTTCGGAAAGTAAGCCTATCAAAGAAAAAACTTATTAACTGTTTAAATTAATTAATATTAATAATGCTTATTTCAATTGTTACAGTAGTGAATAAGAACTCCTCATCAAGCTTTGATTTCATATTAATAATTTTTATTGGTGACTATTACAAAGATCGTTTTTTGTGTGAAAGTGGTGAACTTAAATTAGATGATTTGTACAAGCCGTTCGCAACAAGCACAGCTTTATTATCAACTAAAAAAATATTTCTAACCTACATCAAGGAAAAGTCAGAATATCCTTCAGACCTTTTTCGAGCAACAGAAGAGACAAGGACATCCGAAAACAAATATGTAAAATATATTCAAGATCAAAAAAGGTTTCCAACATATGCTAATATGTGCAGTTTATACATTAACAGTAGTGTATGCAGCTCAAAGAAATTTATAGAGGTAACCAAATTGATAAGAAGGCGCTAATTACGCTCTGCTTGAGATTTAATGAAAGATCAATCAATTAAAAAGTTGAGATAAAAAAATTGGCGAAAGTCCTCGTGTCATATATCGAGGGACTTCAGCGCATTTTTGTGTTAGCGATCAGTATTTGATTATTCAAATATTTTGCGTTCATTTACAGATCATTAGAAGGTAAGAAGATCGATTATTTTAGTATTATTAACACATAATTACAATGTATGCTAACGGTCTTTTGGAATTCAAACTTACTAACGGTCAAAATATATTTGAAAATTTCCAATCCTTATTTCTTTAGGGGCTGTTCACTTATTACGTAACGCGAAAAAATGACTTCTTAGACCCCCCCCCCCCCCCCTCGTAACAAAATTTGTATGAAAAAAAAATTTTCTTGTTTGAACCGTAACAAAATCTTAGACCCTCCCCCTCCCCCTAAAAGCGTTACGTAATAAGTGAATGGCCCCTTATTGCAATGAGTTTTTCGATTTGTTATTTAACAGTTTTTTGAAACTCAAACTTTTAAACGGTCAAAATATATTTGAAAATTTCCCGCCAAAAGTTGTTTGAATTGTACTGAGAAACAAAAAAACTATTAATTGTAGCATTAAACGTTGGTGTTGAGCTTTCAAACTGTTCGATGCGCCAATAACTCGATAGAAACTATGCGATGTCTAGATCAATAGTTATTGCAAGCAGCCGAACAAAGCGTTTTATTAAGCTACCTTTCAAAACAAGTTTCAAAAATGCGCTAAAAAGGGGGTAAGAAAATCAAATTTTCAGCGTTGCGTCATAAGTGAAACGACATTGATATATTGTAAAAATATTATTAAAATTGTATTTTATTATAAACAGGTATTTTTGGACACAATATCAGACTCGTCGCAATCAAATATCATCACAATAATGGCTAATTTTCGAGCAAGATTAAATAGAATTTGTGAAGGACATTTTGTACCAATATATGAATCAACCATGCAATATAGCAAAAGTACTTTTCCTTAAAAAAGAACTGGTTGTCATTGCAGTTGAAAATATGTTAAAAGTGTATCAAAAATTAAATTTAAACCAATCATGTTTGATCATTTGATCAGTTCCACACTCTTGATTTAAAAAGATGTGCTCCATTACGTCGAGTGTCTTTACTTAAATTTTAACATCTTTGTCAAATTACTTCTAAAGATTGGCTGTTGACAAACTCTTAGATATTTATTTTCAGTAGGATTAACCAAAATTCGTTCATTTGCTACACGTTCATTTACTTTTGCCATTATAAGATCTATTATTAAACCAGGATTTTCGTTAATTACAATACATAAACTCTAATTTAAAGAAATATTAAATAATTGAAAATAATTGATTAATTAAGAATAATTGATTATTATTGAAGAAAACTTTTGTGTCTTACTTGTACGAAAAATGAACCAGTCCAAACTCTTAAAGAAAAGAATCCTTCAATAGTCGCATATCCAACAAAAAAGTCGATCGGTAATTGAGCAAAATTATTTTTTTCCAACTTAAATTTGGATTCATTTGAATCAGAATCATTATTAGCACATGAACTTGGAGGATCATTAGAATTTGAACCTAATTCGCATCCATTATTATGGATGTTTCCTCTGCAGGTTTGCAAGAAGATAAGCCTAGGTTTACCAGCTAACGATGGACATCTTTCATCAGTAAAATTTTCCCAAAGAAGTGATTTATCAAAGTTTTCATCAACAGCACGTACCAAACCGTCATTCGATCCATGAGTCATTAAAACAATTACTAAACAAGCTTCATCATCAAATTCGCGTTTAGATACTATAAAAAAAATCTTATTTTTAATCTTTCAACATTATTAATCTTTTTACTTACAATTTTCAAGCTCGTCTTTGATTTTTTGAACTGTAAAATTTTCATGAAGATGGAATTCAAATTTCAAATTTGTCTCAAAAGTCATTCTTAATGATATTATATCTTGTTCTGATCCTTTTCTATGATCAGTTTTACTGTCTTTGAAATCCATGTTGAAAACAACGGCCAGAGACTTCTCTGTACTTATTGGGTAAAATTCGCTCCTTGAAATTGTAAGAAAAAAAGATTAAAGTTTTATTTTAAAAAACAATTAAAAAATAAATTCTAACATTTTACGAATTAAAAATGCAAATTGACTTTTATGTTACTCAAACAGATTACAATTAAATGTGTTTCAATTTTTATTCATGATATTTAAATAAATGAAGTCAAGGATAGGACATTGCAAAAAAAATTTCATTTTTTATCAAAAAAAAAACTTTGTTTTGCAGTAATGAAATTTAAAAATAAAAAAAATAATTTAAATATTTTTTAAAAATTGAGAAAAAAAGTATTTTTTTGCAAATCTTAGAAATGGATTTTAATAATCTTTAAAAATTCATATGTGTGTGTTTTTTTTTTATTTTATTTTGCAACTTTTGATAATGTTTGCTAGTGACTTAAAAACATACATTTCATCATTTCCTCTGTGAGATTTTTTCTGAACAGATAATTCTTGACATCATACTTCTTTTGTGTTGGGTTTCCAGGTCAACTTGGGTCACTCTAGTGCAGAAATGAATTTTGATGTATTAAAAAATGGCATATAATTGAAATTCTGAGAGTAGTGTAGGGTGTTCCGGGTAGCTATAGAAAACAGGCTGAAATTTTTAATGTAAATTGCATCTAAAACAGCCAAAATAAAATTAATGATTTTTAAAAATATAATTGAAAATTTTTCTAAACCTCGTAAAACAATTTTTGATTCACACAATTCGCATGTCAAATACGTACACCGAAAAGTTGCAGCATATACAAGTTTCAAAACAAAAAAAAAAAACAATTTGAGTGCAGATTGCAAAAAACAGCAGAGAAAAACGTACAATCGACGGGCATGTCAAAACTAATAAACATTTTTGTTAACAGTCGAACGAGAAGATGAGGAAAATCTGCTGAATCAGTATCATGAAAAATTTTCCGCTAGACGTGAATGGAGGATACAAAAAAAAATCAAATTCAGCCTCCACTTGATGCATAAGCACGAAAACTGTATAAAAGAAAGAAAAAGGGATGAACGCACATCACAGCATGATGACTGTGACTTTTTAATGGACAAATCAAAGGAAGAAAAAAATAAGGCAACGATGATGATGATGTTGTCGATATTTATTTCTTTCGATTCCGACTTCTCCGTATGTTTTATAGCAGCAGGAAATGTTTAGAGGTCAATCGATTTGAGGGCGGGAGAATAACAGATGCTTTCTCATTCACTTCTCTTTGCTGTTGTTGAATTATCGATATGTGTGTGTGTAGATCGGAAAATATAACTATAATCGTTTATCTTCCTCCCATCATCGCATCGCATTGAAATTTTGGTGTATGTTGTAATGCTGCCTCATTCACTCCATGGGGGAAATAGACAAAAGAAAAATCATATTGCGCCATGTAATAGAGAAAAATAAGAGAAAGTAAAAGGAAATTCATTCGGGAATAGGAAACTTGTACTGTAATAGCAACATAATGTTAAAATGCACATTTCCTCATTTCATACTTTAAAGATGATATCAGAGGGAGTTTTGTTTTGGAAAATCCAGCAGAGTTGATGTCTTGATGTCTGGATATGTCATTAATATTAAAAAGCTTCATTGATTGTAGAGCTGCTTTAAACTGTAAATTTTAATATATGTACAGTCATATTGAATGAGTTTTAGTTTTGGAAAGTGAGAGTTATTAACCATGTAACACATACTCTCAAGCAAGCAGCTTGTCAATTTTAAGTAGAGTAATATCAAAAGACGAGCTTGGGGTTGAGGTTGACATGCAAACTTCTTCTTTTAAATTCTTTTGTTTACACTAAGAGCGTCAGTACATTATAGATAATTAACTGTCATGGTATTCTACTGAATTGTACCTATGATGTACAGACACTTTTAAAATACCAATTCAGTAAGCTTTTGATGCCATTTTTCAAGGTCATGCAAACAATTTTAGACTTTGACCAATGATTTTTCACTCAATTGAATAAGCACTGTCATTGCGAATAATAAATACTAACCACATTAGTTATACTTGGATACTTGATTAGACATCTCTATTCTAAAAATGCCAAAAAGTCATACTTGACCACAATAACCACTGAAAATGACACATGTGTAGTGTAATCGTGCGTGTATTTTTGATGAATTAACCACAATAACTTACTATGACTGAAGCTTAGTCAGTAACATTTTCTGTTATCAACAACTACGAATTCTGAATTACTGTGAGTAGTATAACCTGAAAAATTAAAACTAAAGCCCTTTCAAAAACATAGATTTAAAAACTTAGAACTCGCATGAATTTCAATTCAATTCCCTCTAAAATACCTACTCAACAACACTGTGACGGAGAAGAAAAATAATGAAAAAGGCATTTGAGGGCAAAATAAACACATAAACATATTGGATATATCAATACATAAGAGATTCTTTTCGCTCAACTTAATTCCGCTTTTCAAAAAATCTGAACACGATTGCGTTTTATTTCTCTATCTGCTTGTACACTTTTATTACTATGGCTATGAGCTGATGCTGTATGAAAAAAGGAAGAAGTAAAAATATATTTACGAGGATACTAAACGAGAAGGTATTAAGGAGGAACCAGTAGCTGCAAGTTTAGCGAAGGAATTTTAAAAAATTTATAGAAACGTGCAAATTTTATGCTAAAATTATGCACAGTTTAAATCTATGGCTTAATTATCAAATGCATTAAATTTTAAGATAGCAACAAAAGCCAAGTCAATTTCCTCATGATTATGAAAATCGTTCCTAAATGCTGTTCTGCAAAATCCATAAACTACTTCACACAAAATGCTGAAAGCGTGGCGAATCGCTTAAATAATCATTGCCCTCCACTATGCTTACATAAAATAACATTTTTTCGTCGGAATTGCTATTTATAAAGGAATAAGAAACATGGAATATAAATAAATAGTAAACAATAGTGTGGGATGTATAGAAGGAAGCTCTCGTTCGCTTATAGAAACGGAAGAACCATATTAAAATATAGATTGAATGTGAATAGTTTTTTCTCCATGTTCTCTTGTTCATAAAGAATGCCTGACACTCATAGTTGAAATATATTTGGTTTCTATTGAGCTTCTTATTCTTGGTACCGAGCGGCAGTAGAGAAGCTTATGGGATGAGCTTGGTACTGCCACTTTGCGAATGTCTAGAGTTATCTTGACTAGATTGGAGCAAGATCAAGACCCCAGACTAAGCTTTTCCCATTCTTCAGTCTCTCATGATTTTTAATTGCTTCTCTGGTACCAAAAGAGCCCATCTCAAGCAGCATATGACACTCAACTAATCAAAACCTTTCTACGACAAAGACAATTTAGACAGATCTTTTTCAATCGTCCGGCTCGGGTTTGGATATTCTGTAGCAAAACGATTCACGAATAAATATTAAGGAAATAACAAGTTGTAAGTTTTACGAAAGAAATTCAGTTTCTGTGGCTGGGATCATGCAGTGAGAAAATTTTTCAATGATAAAATCATCGCAATGACTAGTCAGAATAGATGCTCTAGGGGAAATAAAGTCAATAATTAAGAATTTATCTGTTCTGAACAGCTTTGCAGCAAGTCTCAAGATCTACGAGAATTCCCTTTTATTCTACAACATAAATACATATTAAATAGGTAACAACAAGCACAATGGTCGCATATGGAATCAGTGAAAGAAATAAGTAAGAAAAAAAAAAGGTTTTATGCCACAAATCTTTTTATCATTTGAGCCATATTTATTTATTGCTCGGTCTTCGGTCTTTCTTTCAGGTGCTTCTTCTGTTTCTTATTGCTTTTTTGCCGAAAATTTTACTTCACCTCCTTGAGTTTGTGTTTTTCTTTATTTTATTTCACTAACTTTATCTCATGACTGAAAGTCAGTGACATTATGGTAAGTCGACCTGTAAAGGGATCATGAACGGAGCGGAGCCTGAGAAAAAAAAGATATTTGTGCTGCAGAGTTGGAAAGCTGTTGATCTCAATTTACAAAATGCTAAACGATAGCAGCTGGCATTGATTATTCGTTTGATGTTGGTTACATTTGATTGTAAGTAGCTTGAAGGTGGATGATCAATATCGCTTGCCATCCACAGCAACTAAGTTAATGACAGTGCCAAGTTTCTTATGACTGTCGATTTTAGAGTCTAAAGAATGGCAGAAGACACTCGATTCCCAACTCTGCAATCTGTGGTTGCGTATAAGTATGAAATACAATAAAATACAGTGAATTGAACAAATTTCTGCTTCGTGTGTTTGCATCATAAAATAAAATCCTTACTAACTCACTGAAAAGTCCATAAGAGGTAAAAATAGATAAAATAAGGCGATGGGTATTGAAAAGGGATCTAATAATTGGATATTTATTAGGGATATCCATTTCATCTCATTTTTAAATTCGGGTACAAAGGTATAATTTTTATTTTGTGTCATAAAATTATTTGCCATATGATCTTTAACCTTTTTCTCACTACCCTGCACATCCTATATCAATACAATTACCTCTGTTTTTCACAAAAATTTATTAACACTGCTTTAATATAATAATTTTACATTATCAAATTATGGAAATCATATTCATACCGTTATTAATTTTTTTTTGTATTATTATAATCCCTGATAGTTGAATTTATGCAAAATATGTGAAAAATAGCACATTCAGCGTCTGGTTTGGTTACCATCCAAAAATACAATGAATAAGGGTGATAATATAATATTTAATGATATTGTTAGTGACATAAGTGGGATTGGAAAAAAATTGATAATTTGTTTACACATTTGAGAAGAATATTCACATACAAATGCACTGGTCACATCTGGATAAAGAGATTTCGACCGCAAATTTCATGTACATTGACGCGATCAAATTTGTTTTAATTTTTTCGTATGTGCACCGTTAAATTATTTATTTGTGAGGAAAAATACACATTTGCGTCCTAATAAAATGTTGATTTTTTAGAGGGTGTGTTTAGTTGAGGTGTAGGTTTGGATGACAGATTGACTGGTCTTGGTCATAGGGATTTTGTGATGGGGCATAAACTATGG